ACTCCCTCATATGTGTGTTCTGAAGGTAATGTTATACAGCATTTGTGTAGTTTTGTGCATGAAACAAGGTTTTATAGTATGGAATTTTCCTCTTGTGGCATCATGTCAGCAAAAAAGCTTTGGATTTGGTGGAACTGGGGATTTGGGGTTTTCAGGTTTGAGGTGCTCAAGTTGTGGTACCATCTGTTGCCCCAGCAAGTAGTGAGATTCAGTCATGTCATTTTGAAACAGGAGGACAATTTATACAAGCCTAGAGTAAGTGAGTGTCTATGACAAGGAAGAACAATGAGCATAAATGTACGTGAGAATTCATTTTAAGGAGTTAGTGTTTTGTGCTGCACTTTCAGGAATCTGTTTCCTGACTAATCTGCAGTAGCTCTGAGTAAACAGAAAGGAGTTTGAATTTGATGCATGTCACATTTTGCCACAGTTATCCTCAGTTTGCCAACATTTTTTTGTGAAACAGGGTTTTTCATACATCTACAAGTGGTATCTTAGCACCAGGTACCATGACATGCTCCTGTAGTCCCAACTACTCAGGAGGCTGAGGCAGGAAGACTGCTTGAGCCCAGGAGTTTGAGGCCAGCATGGAGAACCTAGTGAGATCCTGTCTCTTAAGACAAAAGAGAAAGAAAAGAAAAATATCCTTGTCAACTACATGTATGGATTTGCCACTACCCTTCCCCACCCACAGACATCACTCTATGTTAAAGATCCAGGCCAAATAAATGCTGCAGTAGCTGCTGCATCTAAACCTCTGTGAGCCATACAACATACAGGAATCTATGGAATACAATGAAAGCAGTTCTAAGAGGGAAATTTATAGTAGTGAATGCCCACACTAGGAAAACAGAGTGAGCTCAAATAAACAACCTAATGCTGAATCTTAAGCTCCTAGAAAAAGAAGAGCAGGACAAACCCAAAGCTCATACAAGGGAGGAAATTATAAGGATCAGAGCAGAAATCAATGCAATGGAGACTAAGAATGATACAAAAAATCAACAAATCAAAGAGTTGTTTTTTTAAAATAATAAATAAAATTGATAAACCCTTAGCCAACCTTATCAAAGCAAGGAAAGAAAAGGCTCAAATCCATGCAATTAGGAACAAAAAAGGTGAAGTCACAACAGATCCACCAGAAATCCAGAGGATCATCAATACCTACTTCGAGAACCTGTACTCTAATAAAATAGAAAACACAGAAGAAATGGGCAGATTCCTAGATACATATGTATTACCTAAGTTGAACAAAGAAGATATAAAAATTCTAAACACCCCAGTTACAATCAGTGAAATTGAAAACATAATTAAAAATTTATCAACAAAGAAAAGCCCAGGTCCTGATGGCTTCACTGTTGAATTCTACAAGACATTTAGAGAAGAACTATTGTCACTACTCTAAACTTTTCAGTGAAATTGAAAGGGAAGCAATACTTTCAAATCCATTCCTGGAAGCAAGTGTTACTTTGATTCCAAAACCAGAGAAAGACCCAACCAAAAAGGAGAATTACAGGCAAGTCTCCCTAATGAACATGGATGCAAAAATCCTCAATAATATACTGGCAAACAGAATACAGAGGGTCATCAAGAAGATCATACACCCTGACCAAGTCAGATTTATCCCAGGGATGCAAAGATGGTTCAACATATGTAAATCAATAAATGAAATACACTGTATTAACAGTCAAGGACAAAAACCATATGATCATCTCAATAGATGCAGAAAAAGCATTCGACAAAATTCAACACCCATTCATGATAAAAAAAAAAACCCACAGAAAATTGGAATAGATGGTCTTTATCTCAACTTGATAAAGGCTATCTATGAAAAACCAACAGCCAACATCACACTAAATGGT